CCACTAGGATGGCTCGAACCAAAAAAGACAGGTAACAACAGTAAGGTGAGGATGTGGAAAAACTGGTACCCTCTTATACTTCAGGTTGGAATATACAATGGTGCAGATGCTTTGTAAAACATAATATATATATATATTTATATATACATACAAAATAGCCAATAAGCACATGAAAAAATGCTCAATATCACTAGCCAATATAAAAATACAAATCAAAACCACAATGTGGCACTAAACACCCACTAGGATGGCTCGAACCAAAAAAGACAGGTAACAACAGTAAGGTGAGGATGTGGAAAAACTGGTACCCTCTTATACTTCAGGTTGGAATATACAATGGTGCAGATGCTTTGTAAAACATTCTGGCAATTCCTCAAAAGGTTACAGATAGAACTACCACATGACCCAGCAATTACAGTCCTAGATACACACCCAAGAGAAATAAAAGCAAATGTCCACACAAAAATTTGTACATGAATGCTCATGGCAGCAATATTCATACTGTTCAAACTACAAACAACCCAAATATCTGTCAATTGATGAATGGGTGAACAAAATATGGCATATATGTACAATGGGGCATTACTCGACAATAAAAAGAAATGAAGTACTGGTTCATGCTACAATATGGACAAATTTCAAAACCAGGATGCTAAGTGAAGGAATTCAGTCACAAAGGACTGTATTTTCATATGGTTCGCTTATAAAAAATGTCCAGAATAGGTAAATCCATAGAGACAAAACTAGATTAGTATTTGTCTAGGGCTGCAGGGAGGGAGATTTGGGGAGTAATGGCTAAAGAATGTGGGACTTCTTTCTGGGGCAATGAAAATGTTCTAAAAATGATTGTGGTGGTAGATGCAGAACTGAATATGCTACAAGCTAAATAATGGGTACCTGAAAAGGGTAAACTGTATCGTATATTAATTATATCTCAAGAAAACTATCCTGGCTTGGAAGAGAGGAGTAACCCTGGACAAAGACATAAATGTGGAAAATAATTCAGTTTTTCTGAAGAACAAGTAGAATATATTAGTGTAATATTAAATCCAACTTGTGTTGACTTGTGTTGTGTTAAAGAACTAGTTATCAAACAAAAATGGATAAGGTAGAAGAATGTTGCCAAATCAGAATTATGTTCAATAGAGACAGAGGGAAAAGCCACTAGGGTAAAGGACAGGAGAAAACTGGATGCTGTGGGTTAGTAACTATCAGTAGGACAGGACGAAGCAGGAATGTAGGCTAGAGGCACAAGATTGCAACTGAAGGTGAGGCAAAAATGTTCAAGAAAAGTATTTGGCTTACAGTCAGTTGTAGAATGGAAGAATAACTGTTCTTCCACACATTAAATCAGAATATAAGTATGAGGGGTCCAAGAATGTACATGGCATAGTCACTCATTGACATAGTAAATGAGAATTAGTTGTAATGTAAAGGATCACATGCTTAAACAAAACATATCAAAGTTTGCAAGGGCAGAATTTTGTCTATTGATGCAAGATAACCAAATGCTTAAACTTTATGCCTTAAATGTATCCTCCCTGGATGTTAAGATAGAAAATTTAGAGACCCAATATTACAAGCACTCTACTCAGAATAAATAACAAAGTAAGACTGGGGGGGTAGGCAACAAAATAAGAGAACTGGACACCTAAAAATCTGGCTTTTTAAAAATATTCAGCTGGTCCTTTTAATTTATCTATTGTAAATTTTATAGCTGCTTAATTTGATAGAAATAAAATTTCCTGACAAATTCCCTCGTAAAACTTACTAAAATCATTCACTTTCCTCAATCTCCCTAATTTGAAAAAATTAGTTTCACTAATTTGAGGCCTCTCAAATGACAGATCAGGTTGTGAATCACTTAATCTGTGGTTGCTTGTCAGGTCATTTTTTAAAATATTTGTGCCATCATTCTGTTAAGACAGAATATCCCCAGAATACGACATTTTAAATAAAATGTTCCTTCACTATTTGATAAATTCAGAAAAAGAAATAGGGAATTAGTTCGGTTAGAAAAAAGGCAAAATACAAAAGTAAGTAACACCACCACCTGTATATTAATATGAATTTTAGCTAAGCCAGTTGACAAAAACGAAAATTCAAATCAAGAGAGATACTAATATTGTGAGAGAGTAAACCAAAACAACTCTGGAGAGAATATCACAAGAAAAAGAAATTTGACAAATAAACAAAAAAATGAATTAGATAATTTCAGATAGTGATGAAATGCCATTGCCAACAAAGCCCTCACTATAGGCCTTATGGATGAGTATCTAAAAGGAAAAGTTTCGTACAGTAATTCCACATCAAACAATGGCCTTGTGAATGACAACAACATAATATCGTACTCCATTTGGTTTGCTATAACAAAATACAACATAATGGGTAGCTTATACAAAACAGAAATGTATTTCTCACAGTTATGGAGACTGAAAGACAAAGATGAGGGAGTCAGACTGGTCAGGTTCTTGTGAGAAGCTCTTTCAGGTGGCAGACTGCTGGCTTCTCACTGTGTCCTCACAAGGGCAACGGCACTCTCTTTGAACTCTTTTTTTTTTTTATGAGGACTCCATCTTTATTACCTATTATCTCTCAGAGGCCCTACCTCCTAACACAATCACATTGACCATTAGAATTTCAATATATGAAATTTGGAAGAACACAACACTCAGGCAATAGCACCTAATTTAGTATACTTAAAATATTCATTAATTTTTTTAAAATTCTGGAGTGAAATAAAATTCATATGACATAAACTCACCCTTTTACAGTGTACAATTCAATGGAATTTAGCATATCCACAAGTGTGAAAACATCACCACTATCTACTCCCAGAACATTTTCACCACCCCAAAAGATACTTATGCCCAATAGCAGTCACTCCCCATTCCTCCTTTTCCCCACTCTGGCAGCATTAATCTATTTTCTGTCTTTACGGATTTGCCTATTCTAAGCATTTCATACAAATGGAATCATAGCATGTGACTTTTTGTATCTGGCTGCTTCTACTTAGCATACTGTTTCCAAGATTCAGCCATATTAAACCATGTATCAGTACTTTATTCCCTTTTATGTCTGAATAATTTTCTATTGTACAGATACAACACATTTTGTTTATCAATTCATCAGTTAATAGACATTTGTGGTCTTTCTACTTTTTGCTGTTAAGAATAACACTATGTGATCTCCTTTTTATGTGGAATCTAGTGTAAAGCATGATGACTATAATTAATAATACTGTATTGTAAATGGAAATTTGCTAATAGAGTGGATTTCAGTGGGCACTCACCACAGAAAAAGATGGTAACTATGTCAGGAGATTTTATGTTGATCAGTTTAACTATAGCCATCCTTTCAGAATATCAGAACATCAAGTTACACAATTTAAATACATAGAATATTCATTAAAAATTAAAGACTTTCACATGCAAAAAGAATAATGATAAAAACATTCATGTACAAGATTTTGTGTGGACATGTATTTTTAATTCTTGGGTATATACCTAGGAGTAAACTTGCTGGGTCATACGGTAACTTTAAAATTTTACTTCCTGGAGAATAACCAGATTGTTTTCCAAATCAGCATCAGTTATTTTATAAGTTAATAACTCAACAGGAATATACAAATTCCAAACAAATAGAGAAAACTGAAATAAGAAACGGCAATTTTTAAAAAAGAGAGCTAATATACTACAGGAGGACATGAGCAGGATGACAGAAAAAAAGTCAAAAACAACAATCAGACTAATATTAATGGATTGAATTTACTACCTAAAAGGCAGATCATGAAATCTGATCTAAAATATCTAGGTATATGCTATTTCCAAAACATACACCTAAGCATAAAAACAGATTTTAAGTAAAAGAATGTAAAAGGAAACCAGGCAAATTCTAACCACAGAAAAGTTAACTGTAACCATGTTAATATAAGGAAAAACAGATGTAAATCAAAAGACAGGGACAGACTCACTATATTTAACAAAATAATCAATTTAAAAAGAGAGAGAAGTATGCATATGGTGGGGGTGGGGGACGATATGTTTATAAGATAACTAAAGTCTACCAATTATTTTGAGGGACTTTGCAAATTAACACTTTCATATAAGCCACAAGTTTAGAACTTCCAGACTAATGAAGCATTTGTCTTGCCATTCTTTATACAATCATAATACCTGATAAAAATCAACTTTAAATTTTACATTAGTCAATGGCTATATCAAATAAAAAGGCTCTAATTATAATGTATTTTTTAGATTTGATAATATATTCTCCATAGTAATGTCTGAAATTTAAATCTTCAAAAGCATATAAACAAAAACCAACTTTTTATTTTCACGGGCAAATGATGAGAAAAAGGTTATTTTAAGCGTGATTACACTTCATAAAAAGATATCCTTCCTTAAAAACTTTTTTGTTACTAACAAAAGTAACATGATTATTTTGATCTGAAACTAAAATACTCAAGCCACCTGTATTTTTGTTTACATGCAAAGTGAGGAACAAGATGAAGATAACATCTCTGGCATCAAAGCAGATTTTTTACTTTTGGTAGTTAATTCACTAATTCAGGGTGTAAGACTGTTTTTCACCAAAAGAGCTTACCAAGTCTTAAAGCATGATTAAGAATTTTATTCCACTTTACCAGCATAATCAAACTTAATGTACTTAATACTTGATTTGGTTATCATTTCACATACATATCTGATCCCTCAAAAGTTTTCCATGTAACACCAAACAAAAGGTCAAATGAACAAGGAATTGGTGAAAAATAATCTCTTGCAACTATAAAATATAGCCAGAAATTGGCAGCAGGGAACAAAACAGAATGGCTTAAGTCATATCTGGGGTTTTACACAGGAGCTATAAATATCTATTTTAGCAGAAATACACTACACAATTTAAGTTGAGCATGCTATACATATGGATTTGAAGGATAAAATATTAGTGACCACTAATGAGAATTTTCCATATACTTGTCAAAAAGATTGTGCTCCTACCTATACTTTGGAAAACTTCATTCATCAAAACTTCATTCACTGCTGAAGAGCTGACATTTCCAATATGAGACCAACTTTGATATACTGCTTGCAGCAGAAGTGTCTGTGCCCTGGTAGCTTGAATTGTGAGATTTGGAAGTTCAAATATGCCTTCATTTATAGCAATCTGAGATCTTTGGGCCCTGCATAAGAAAAGAGAAAAAATAACAATATGGTAAATAATATTTGCAAACAACAACATATAAAATGCAGTAGGTTGCAAAGGAAAAAATACAAACTTTTTTTTTTCACTTTTTTTAATACCATGTATTAAGGGTATCTTCCCTTTCTCATTTTACACATATGGCTCCTGTGCACATATGAAAAAACATATAAAATACAGTTGAATTTATAGTGCTTCAATGGTATTTCGACCTGAATCACAAACATTTTTCAGTTGGCTATGGATTTCAAGCTTTAACATGTATAGTAAATAGTATACATTCACATAAATGTCATTGTAGCTCTTTTAACCATAATGCAGGTGTATGTTTAAATTTCCTATCCAATGTAACTGGATATATACATTAGTAGAAATATGTGAACATGTAATATGAAAAATTAACAAAGGTTCACTGGTTTTAGAGACTGCTACCAGTGACTACATTATTTTCTCTACCAATTATTATGCTCACCTCACTGAGTTTTCTGCCTCTACTTAATTTTTGTTTCTGTTCAGTTCTGACACCATAACCTACACAAAGACTTCCTCGAGTACCCCTGCCCTGATATCATTCCTCAACAGAGCCCATGCATATTTGCTAGGGCTGCTGTACCCAAAGGACCCCAGGCTGGTGGCTTAAGCAATAGAAATTCATTTCTTCATTCCTCTGGAAACAGGAAGTCTGGAGGCTGTTGGCAGCCTGATTGGCTTCTGCCCACATGTCTCTTCTTGGCTCTGTGGCTGGCCGTCTCCCCCTGGGTCTCCACGTGGCCCCACCTTTCTATGATCTCTTCTTAAAGAACCGGTCGTAGTTGAGTAAGGTCCCTTTTAAAGGTTTAATGTGAACTTAATTACCTCCTTAAAGATACTTTCATCAAATACAGTCACATTCTGAGATACTGGGGATTAGGATTTCACCCATACCACTTTGGGGGGTGGGGGGGGTACACAGTTCATCTCATAACCATTCATATTACAGTTTCTCACTTAGTTGTTTTTCAATCATTCCATTGAAATTAGTTCTTTCTTTCCCAAATAGAACACAAGTTTCAAAAATAATAACTGATTATATTTAAAAGTGTATTTACTTCATTCATAGTACCTAGAAGGCTATAGTGTAAATAGTAAGTGTTTGTTGTTTGGAAATGTTGGAAAGAATGGGGTAAAAGGACCAAGTGAGAGCCATTTTGTCAATTCTTTGTGGATTTCAGCTCCCTTATCTTTATGGAAAGAAACCAGTGCCATAGATCTCAGGACCAGGCAGGGTCAGATGCACAGCGGCTAATTCAGTCCTGGGAGCCCCATCAGCATTCCAGTCAGCAGAGGCAGCATTCCAGTCTGCAAATGGGTGGAAATGTAGAAAGCATTAAACCCAGGCACATACCACAGAAGAGGGTTTGGGCTTGTGGAAAATAATTGCCTCATTAACAGTCTTTGAAACAAGAGGTTGGTTTTTTAGAGGGTAAAAATATAAACNTCCCTTATTATTATTTTTTTTTTCTTTTTTAAATAAAATGCTGAAGTGGTAGGTAATTGCAAGATAAAGGTAGAAAACATAGTTTAGTGCTGTAAGAGAGCAAATGTAGATGATCAGGTGTGTGCCTGTAGACTAAGTGTTAATCCAAGCTAGACAAGGGCAATAAAACAACCACAGATGCAGAAGATAAAATAAAAACTTTTTAAAAGCAGAATTAAATCAAACAGGCAATTCTACTAACTTAAAGATTCACTACTTCAGAACCTCTTACAATAAAAAATAAAAATTCAAACCAGAATAATATCCATTCACATGTATTCATATATTCTGCTCAAGTAATTATACCTTTTCAATCAAGTCAATCACCAAAAATAACCATGAAAATAACACTAACATTAAAGATTTACTAGCAGATCTGCATTGTTCTAAAATGTCTAATATTAACTCACTGAATCCTATCAAAATACTCTTCAAGGGAGGTATTATCATTAACTTCATTTTGCTGTTGAAGAAACTAAGACACAATGAGATAAATTAAGGTGTCAAATATCATACAACTAATAAATGAAAAAGTAGGAAATTTAAGTCTGGGCAATCTGATCCAGAGCTCTCTACCCTATATTTCATCTCATAAGTACTTATCAAGTACTTATATTATACCCAGGTTCCCACTTGATGGTAACACAAAAATAATTTTTAAAAGCTCTGCCTGGAATATCTAATTCATTGATGATTTATTTGTCTGGTTCCATATTTGAAAAAGGTGCCTTATCTAATTTTTCCAAAAAGCAATGCTTCAAAGTAAGCGAACACTGTGAGCAACAAGTTAACAAAGTATTGCACTTGGCTTTATTGCCCTTCATAACTACTGCCGGTTTAGTTTTAGTTTTTTACAAATTGAAAGTTTGTGGCAACCCTGCATGAAGCAAGACTATCAGTGCTCATTTTGTGTCTCTGTTGTCACATTTTGTAATTCTCACAATTATTTCAAACTTCATTTTTATTATATCTGTTTAGGTGAGCTCTGCTCAGTGATATTTGATGTTACCATTGTAATTGTTTTGGGGTGCTACGAACCACACCCATGCAAGACAGCAAACAATTGATAAACTGTATGTGGTCTGACTGCTCTGCTGACCAGCCATTTTCCCCATCTCTCTCCCTTTGCTTGGGTCTCCCTTTTCTCTGGGACATCACAATACTGAAATTAATATTGGGGGCTAATTAATAAGTCTACAATGGCCTCTTTAAGTATTCAAGTGAAAGGAGGAGCCACACGTCCTTCAGTTTCCATCAAAAGCTAAAAATTATTAAACTTACTGAAGTGGCATATGTCTGAGATAGCCAAGAAGGGCTAAAAGCTAGGCACCAAATAGCCAAGTTGCTAATGCTAAAGAAGAATTCTTAAATAAAATTTAAATGCTATTCCAGTGAACATACAAATTATAAGGAAGCAAGATAGTCTTAATTTGCAAATATGGAGAAAGTTTTAGTGGTCTGGATAGAAGATTAAACCAGTCACAACATTCCCTTAACCAAAGTCTAATCCAGAACAAGGCCCCCAACTCTATTCAATTCTATGAAGATTGAGAAAGGTGATGAAGCTGCAGAAGAAAAATTCCAAGCTACCCTCTTTCCTGAGGTTGAAAAAAGGAAACTGTCCCCATAACACCAAAATGCATGGTGAAGCAGCAAGTTATCCAGAAATCTACCTACAAGAATTAATGAAGGTGGCAACACTAAAAAACAGATTTTCAATATAGACAAAGTAGCCTTATATTGGAAGAAGATACCATCTATGCAAGTGAAAGTCAATGCCTGGCTTCAAAGCTACAAAGAAAGGCTAACTCTCTTGTTAGAGGCCATTGCACCTGGCGACTTTTCAGTTTAATCCAATGCTCATTGGCCATCCTGAAAATCCTAGGGCTCCTAAGAATTATGCTCAGTCTCCACTACCTGTGCTCTATAAATGGAACAACAAAGCCTGGATGACAGCACATCTGTTTACAACATGGTTTACTAAGTATTTAAGCCCACTGCTCAGGAAAAAAGATTCCTTTCAAAATATTACTGCTCCTTAACAATGCACCTCTTCACCCAAGAGCTCTGATGGAGATGTTCAAGATTAATGTTATTTTCATGCCTGCTAACACAACATTCATTTTTCTGTCCAATTAATCAAGGAGTCATTCAGACTTTGAAGTCCAGTATTGAAGAAATACATTTTGTAAGGCAATAGCTGCCATATGTAGTGATTCCTTTGATGGATCTGGACAAAGCAAACTGAAAACCTTTAAGAGTATTCACCATCTTATACGCCATTAAGAAAATTCGTAATTCACAGGAAGAGGTCAAAATACCAGCATTAACAGGAGTTTGGGAGAAGTTGATTCCAGCCCTCATGGATGACTTTGAAGGGTTCAAGACTTCAGTGGAGGAAATAACTACAGATATGGTGGAAATAGCAAGAGAACTAGAATTAGCAGAACCTGAAGATGTGACTGCACTGCTGCATCTCATGGTAAAACTTGAACAAATGAGGAGCTGCTTCTTATGTATGAGCAAAGGAAGTGGTTAGTCAAGATGGAAACTACCCCTAGTGAAGATACTGTGAAGACTGTTGAAATGACAACAAAGGGTCTAGAATGTTACATAAACTTAGTTGGTAAAGCAGTGGCAGAGTGTGAGATAAATTCCAATTTGAGAGAAGTTCTACTGTGGGTAAAATACTATCTAACAGCATCACATGCTACAAAGATCATTCATGAAAGGAAGAGTTAATCAATGCAGCAAACTTCACTGTTGTCTTATTTTAAGAAATTGCCAGTCACCCCAGTCTTTCAGCAACCAGGCTGATCAATGAACAGCCATCCACATCAAAGCAAAACACCCCACCAGCAAAAAGATTACAATTCACTGAAAGCTCAGATGTTTTAGCAATAACACATTTTTTAATTAAGGTATGTAACACTGTGTTTTAAGACATAATGCTACCACATACTTAATATACTTTAGTATAGTGTTTTAACTTTTATGTGCACTGGGAAACCAAAAAACTCATTATTGTGATATTATTCACTTTATTATACTGGTGTAGAACCAAACCTATAATATCTCCAAGGTATGCCTGTACACACAGAACAACTATATCTGAGAATAAACCGAAGAAGTGTACAACAGTCCTTACAAGCAAGGACACTAAGAAAAAGACACATTGAGAAGGGTATGAGGGGCAGAATCTGGGTGTAGTCAGGACCCACACCTCTGGAGCAGTGACGTACAAGCAGGATGGTATCACACAATAGAGGAATTCCCTAAGGAATGGTATGTTTGAGCACAACATCAGGTTGCCCAGACAGGGAGACCTGACATAGAAAGACAAGCCCCCATCCCATTCAATTTTGAAAGCCAGCAGTTCTTACATCTAGGAGAGCTGAAGGACAGTAGGAAACTGGAACTCTGTTCCAAAAGGGCACACATAAATTTTCACTAGCTCCATGTCC